TCTTAGAAAAGTTTAAATAAAACAAAAATATTGGTTGTAATTGTTGACTGTGTAACTTTACAAACGGCAGCCCGTACAGCAGATACAGAAGACTGTAAGACTTGTTTAAATGTAGAAATAATTTATGGAATCTAAAGGAGCTAAAAAAGAAAAGGTTCAGTTTTATTTGATGTCAGTGAGGAAAAACATTTTTTAATAAAGCATATCCATTATCCATCCCCTCTGATGTTTTATGCTTTTATTGCTGCCATAAGTCGTTCTTATTCAACATACGAGCTTACAAATAAAAACACAAATGATCCAATAAAGTGAATATGTTTTTTAACACTGTAAAAATGAGAGAAGCATCCAGCCCACCTCTTTATTTAATTCAAAGTGTTTCTGAACAGATTCAACACTGATGATGAAACCTTTAGTTCTTCATAGAAACAGTGAAACATGAAACAGACGTGTTATTAGTCATTTTATTTTCATCTTAATTCAACCTGAAACCTAACATTCACACATTCACAGACTGTTGTAACTTCAGTAAAGCACTTCAGTTTTTCAGTGTATGAGAGGAGCACAACCAGGTTCTCCATCAAGCTTCAAGTAAAAAAAAATCACTTCCTGGCTCAGAGACAGCTGTTAGGCCACGCCCACTTCTGGACAGATGTTGGAGAGGAGCTGACAGAGTGAAGGCACAACTCTTCTGGGCCTGCTTTGCCTTTTTTGGAACCAACAGCAGGAGGAATTCTTGATGAGATGAGAAATAATAAATATTGTTTTCAACAATATTTATTGAGGGCAGAAATTACTGAGTGTCTCACTGAGAACATTTAGTGTTTTTACAGCAGAAATACTCTCCTCAGTGCAGGCACAGTGCCCCCCCCGGCTGGGGTCAGAGGTCAGGCATTTAATGCAAACAGTCATTAACAGGCACACACTTCAAGTAATTTCAGGTAAGAAGGATTTAAAACACAGAATCACAAAAACAGATCATTTAAAACAAAAGTCTGAACCATTAAAAAGGTTTGCAACATTTTGCTGATTTGGCAGAATTTTTAACTGAAGCAAAAACAAAACAAAAAATCAAATAAAAACTAAAACATTTGTTGTGTGAAATGTGAAACATTTCACTTCTGCACAACAGTCACAAAATCAACCTTTTATGGTTCTTGCATATAGAACTTCACATTTCAGTTCATGAAATGTCTTCAGGCTTTATGCAAAATTACAAAAATATACAAAGAGATGTAAAATCTAAGCTCTGCTGGTAAAAAACTCATCTGAAAGAAAGTCAGATTCTACATGCTTTGGACAGACTGAGGTATCTGGAGGATGAGATGATGAAACAAACATCACAACAACACAAAACTGTGTGTGTGTTTGCTGTCTGGGCTCACAGAACACAACTGGTTCTGACACACAGCAACACTCGTTACACAACAAACGAATGGTTGACAACATTTGAAAGATCAAGAATTCTGATTCCAAAACGTCAGAAAGGCCTGAACAAATCTGAAGATTTAAATTCATCTGTCACGTCCCGCAACCTTGAGAGTCAGAAGAGTTGTCAAAATACAGGATTTGTCTTGTTTTAGTTAATTAGTTGTGTATGTGTATCATCTATGATAAAAATAACATTTAAATATTTATTTTTTACAACAAAACTCTACTGTATAATGAGAAAGATCAGCTGACTCATGTTTTGCTCTCAAAACCTCAGATTCGTTTCCAGGTGTCAAAATATTTGGAAGTAGAAGTTTTTATTTATTTATTTGTTTATTTATTGGAAGTAGAATTATCAACTCAACCTTTTTACTCAAGTAAAAGTTCTAGTTTTAAAAGTAATGCAAGGGAATAAAACCATTGAGTGCACCGCCCCAAAAACTGTTTTCTAAAGGCCTCGATGATTATAAAAACAGTGTTAGCACAGTTAGCAGTGTTAGCACAGTTAGCGGTGTTAACAGTTAGCAGTGTTAACAGTTAGCAGTGTTAGCACAGTTAGCAGTATTAACACAGTTAGCAGTGTTAACACAGTTAGCAGTATTAACACAGTTAGCAATGTTAACACAGTTAGCAGTGTTAGCACAGTTAGCAGTGTTAGCACAGTTAGCAGTGTTAGCGGTTAGCAGTGTTAGCAGTTAGCAGTGTTAGCACAGTTAGCAGTGTTAGCAGTGTTAACACAGTTAGCAGTGTTAGCACAGTTAGCAGTGTTAGCACAGTTAGCAGTGT